AGGACCTGAAGTGGGCAGTTCATGTGAGGAAGCCCACCAACATCCCTGAGTTGAAGCTGTTTTGTAAAGAGGAATGGGCTAACATTCCTCCCAGCTGATGTGCAGATGGATCAACAGTTACCGGAAAAGTTTAGTTGCAATTATTGCTGCCCAAGCACACCACTTACTGAAAGTGAAGGTTCACCTACTTTTGCCACACAAAAATATGTACCTTTGGATCATGTTCCTCAATAGATCATTGAACAAGTATAATGTTTTTGACTCTTGTTTAATTGGGCTCTCTTTATCTAGCTTTAGGACTTGTGTGGAGAACAGATCATGTTTTAGGTCATATTTATGCAGAAATACTGAAATTTCAAAAGAGCTCACAGACTTTTAAGCACACTGTACAATCTACAGTTGGATGTTACAGATGCAGAAATAGAGTATGCATTTCTTTCATTTAGTTTAGAACAGTTACTTAAATTAGGCTATAGAGACTATGCAGTTTTGTAATTGGTAAAGCAAAAGTCACAGTCAGGAATATAAGCAGAGAAATGAGGAAGATTTGGGAGACTGAATGTAATGAAAAGAAGTTTGCAATAGATTGGGAACAGCTGGGAAGTGAGTATAGCTTTGAGTAGCAGAAGTGTTGAAGAAAATATCAAGTTTCTATAGGTATACCAGTTGGACAGATACATTCTGTCTCTCTCTCTCTACACAGAGAGAGAGAGGCTTGGCTGACCAGTGATAGCATTTTTTTATCTGGTACTGCATGTATGTGTGTGTAGCATCTTTCTTTGAAAAAGTATAGGCACCGAAAAAATAGCTGCTACATGACTAATAGGTTAAAAGTGGACCTTATTTATAGCACAGATTCAGTGAAACTGCTGTTTTTTTCCTTTTGTCTTCCTGTCTCATAAGGGCTTTTTAGTTAATGGTAATTGAATGCAGTATAACATATTTTTAGAATCTCTGGAGATGTGGATAAGAATTGCCATATTATAGAAGCAGTATTCTTTTAATTTCATGCATCTCAAACTCTCTTCAAGGGCAGTATTGGTGGATTTCCCCAGGAAAAAAGTATAAATCAAGGAGACTCAAAGAGAAGTAATATTATACTTGTGGTTGGCACTTGCTTATTTTTTACCATTGGAATAAAATGCAGCTTTCCACAAAGTGTTGCTTACCCCAAAGGGAATAACATGATGGTATAATGTCCCAAAGCAAACAACAGCCACTGGGATAACCCTATCTGCATTGGGATCACACAGGGGCAAAGCATCATCATTACCATCCAGTTCAGATTAGACTTCCCATAGAAGCTCTATAGAAGATAAAAACCAAGCATGTGATATCCAGAGCATATAATTTCTCATTTAATTTGGTTGTGAGAATATTGTCTTGTATCTTGTATAGTTTTAAAATACAGTTCTCTTGTAGAGTAAGGTGTGTAGTGAAGTGAGCTCATCCCAGCTTTTTAGTAGGGATGTTGATTGTACAACTAGTGATCTTTGTTTTATATCCTATAAAGCTCCATAATTGTTAACATTTTATAGTTATTCGCCTATTAAAGAATCTTATATAAGGCATGGTCATTGGTCTTTTTTTATGTTTTTAATAACAAAAAACAAAACACAAAAATAATTATACACTACCAAGAACAGAAAAAAAAAAATAAAAGTGTTATATTATGAAAAAGTGACAAAAATACAAGAAAATAAAAAACTTACCATAATGTAACAGTAAATAGCTACAAATCTATATATATTTATCTAATACAAATATTCAGATGCATATATATTTCCAATACATTTGTGTGACTATCATTTTTTTTAACGTACTAAATTTTGTATAAATGTTTTCCAATGCTGCAGTATCAGTCTTTTGGCCATAGTAAGGGCATGGAGAATCCATTTACATTTACATTGTCCAGATGTCAAGTTCCATGTTCTAGGTGTGTAGTTCAAAAGAATATTATCCTCTGAAAATTTTAGCTTTTGTCACACAATCATATTTATATAGTCCACTACTTTCTCCCAAAACTTAATAAGTATAGGACATTGTAAAAACATATGCTTTAAAGAGACATTGTCCTTATTATATCTCCAACAAAATGTCATAGTTTAAGGTCCACTGACACTCTTGCTATAGAATTTAAAACACTCCCATTGTCTAGGCAATACAGAAACTTCTCATTCTTTATTCCACTCATCCCTTAACTTCTACATATCAAATTGATTTATTGATAACAAATATCTATAAAGCTAATAGTGGGTTTTTTGTTCTAAAGGTTTTAATAAGTTGTTCTAGTATATCAGGTGTCTCGAAAGCTGAAAATGCTACTGGTCCAAACAATGTTGTTAACAAATGTAGCTGTAGATATTGCCATTGGGATACATCTGATAGATGATATTTATCTCTTAAACTGCATATGTTAAAAATTCATCTTCATATCAATTGGTTCAGGGTCAGTATCCCTGCTTCCATCCAAATTTTCCATATCACCATCTTTTCCCCAATTTTTAAAGTTGGGTTTCCCCAAAGAGTCAATTTAGCATGGGAAAAAGAATCAGATATTTTTTTATTAGACATTCCATTCCATATCTTTCTAACTGACATAATCGTTTCCAAAGATATTGTCATTGGCCTTTAAACGTTGTTCTGGATTCTATCTTTTGAAAAAATGAAATGGGAGAGAAATTCTAGAGAATTTCAATGCAAAAGTAAATGGGGGAATCTGCCAAGAAGTAGGACTAAGATTTGGAGTAGATAGCATGAACCAGCAAGGCTAGGGTTCAAGGAAGGTTTTACTAAAAGGGATCTATAAAAACAGAACTGGAATAGAAGTAAAATAAGGGAATCCATAAAAGCAGAGTTGGAATAAAAGTAAAATAAGGGTGTAGCATGGCAGCAAAGCAGTGGTAGGCAGAGGAAGCACATAGAACATGGAATATATAAACTTGTTTCTAGAATTCTGTTACATGGTAATTATCATGTTTTTCTAATATGTGACATATTCTGTTGGGGGAAACATTAGAACATTGATTTAGTGGGAAATGGAACTTAATTTTTTGTGGAATGGTGCTGTTGCTTTTTGAAATTCCCACTATTCTGTTATTTTTTATTTTAGGAAATTATTATATCAAACTTTCAGGGAAATTCGTTATATGAAACAATTCAGGACATAATATAGGGAGTTTATAAATTAGCAAAATTATAGGCTAAGCTACTGATGCAAAGAAACAATACCAGATGTTTACACTTTTTCTTCTGCTAGCACAAATTTGTGACTTTCTCAGGAACTCCAGGAGATATAAAATAAGGCAGATTTGTACTTGCATGCCTGGATCAGGAATCCCAGGAATTCTATTTACCTATGTAATATTATGCACACTACTGAAAGAGCACTAAAATATATATATACTGATTTATGACATGAAATACTGTTCTAGGTAACTATCTAGGAATGTAATAATGTCTTATAGAAAGACTTGTATGAAAATATGCTGTATGGAAATAAGCATTTATAATTAAAAGGCCTTCATGTTTCATTATTATGGCAAATTCTGCTCCAATTTGTGCAAAATATAAATAAAATATAAGCTCATTGATTTTAATGGAAATTAATAAATGGTTTATAAAAATACAAGAGCATAGATTTTTGTTTTTGTTAATTATATAATTTTCATTGTTTAAAAGTTAGGATTGTAGCGCTGTGAAAACTCTGTTATAATCGTACCCTGCCTGTATATGTTATGTGTAAAGGAATGAATATTAAATAATTAAAAGTACATGCAAATCATATGGAAGCTTCTTGATATGAATTTATTCTATTTGCATTGTCAAAAATGTTAAGAATAAAATTAAATTAACTTTTTATAGGTTGGGCTCATGTGGTTTGTGCTCTGTACATTCCCGAGGTGCAGTTTGCAAATGTTTCTACAATGGAACCTATCGTGTTGCAGTCTGTTCCTCATGATCGTTATAATAAGGTATAATTAAATTATGACTTTCTTTCTTTATATAACGTTATTATTTGAAAGAGTTAAAATATTTTAGAATTTATAAAAATAGTTTTGTGAACTCTTGTACTATGGTATTTTTATTGAAAAGAGTAAATAAGTAAAATTCTTCTGTAATAATACCATATTGTAATTTATAGCATGAAGTAATATTTAGTTAATATTTCAGCATAGCCTGAAAGATTTTATTTAAATAGATTTCCAACATAGTCATTTGTAATATTTTCAATGTTATCACTGATAATTGTACTTAGCACTGTTATAAGCAAACAAAAGTTTATGAGAAATGCTAGTTGAGAGCAGAATGTCAGCTTGTCATTTACATTTAATATAATAGTATTTATATATTTTGTTTCTCACAAAAGGCGAATTTCTTTGGTCAACAGTTTTGCCATTAAGAAGGTCAATGTGATTTCTGCAGAAATTCTCCTCTCCCCTAGTATTGCAAATAATATAGCCTTCTATGTAGTATTAGATAGACCAATCATATAGATAAACATACAGGTAATCCTTGACTTACGACCACAAGTGGGACCGGAACGTCCATCGCTAAGTGGTGCAGTCATTAAGTGAATCAGGCCTGATTTTACCACCTTTTTTGCCATGGTTATTAAGCAAATCACCACGGTCATTAAGCAAATCACACAGTCGTTAAGTGAATCCAGCTTCCCCCATTGACCTTGTTTGTCAGAAGCCCCCGGAAAGGTTGCAGATGGTGATCATGTGACCCTGGGATGCTGCAACCATCGTAAATGCATGCCAATTGCCAAACACCCAAATTTTGATCATGTGCCTGTGGGGATGCTGCGATGGTCATAAGTGCAAGAACTGGTCATAAGTCACTTTTTCCAGTACTGTTGTAACTCTGAACAGTTGTTAAATGAGTGGTTATAAGTTGAGGACTACCTGTAGTACAGCTTTAAAGTCTGAAGTTTGTTCTATTTTTTGCTATTTACCAGAAAATAATATACAATCAGGGCTATTTTACTGGTACATGAAAGGTTTTCAGTTGTAAAATCTTTGAATGCTAAAATAAGACTATGGCATCCTACGTAGATAAGTTTTAACATGTTATGACACAGATTTCATCAAATGATATTGACTGTAGTTAATAATTAGGCCTCATTTTTTAAACACATTTTTTAAAGTGTATTTCAAAGCTATTTGAAACAAATGTCAGTTGCTCAAAGAAAAGTAAGTTCCATTGTACTACTAGACATTATATACATGAATTCATGTAGCTTTTTAGTCACAGACTGTTTCAGCTATAGTTTCTGTTAATTTACCATGTGGTCTTTCAATTTGTTTATTATGTTAAATATTTGGTGATTCTCACTTCAAATTTTCATATTATCTGTCCTGTAATGAATGTGTGCTTTGTTTTGTTCCTCCCCTGCATATCAGATTTTTTTTTTCTGTCAGATTAAATTTTAATAATGGAAAAGATATGTGAAAATTGTTTCATAAGAATATCTTGATACATTTTCCTATCATACAGTTGCTGATCTATACATAGTTACCTAACCTAATGACAATGAATCTTTGCCGAAAGCAGAACTGGGGGTTTTTTTGAAGAAAGGTCTGATAATGGTTAGCAAGTATACATACCTTACATCCATTCTTAGCTTAAACAGCAATGATCAACTATTTGGAGCTGAACTCTTAAGTTCTAGCTACCCTTCCATAATTCACTCTGTTGTTTTTTTTTTAAATAAGTACTGGCCAGCCCAGAGAGAGGTATGTATAAATAGGCATAGACAGTTCACTGTTTCTTTATTTATGCATATTATTAACATTTCTATGTTGCTCTACTCCCAGCAGCTCAAAGCAATGTACTCAGAAAAACCAGAGGATTAAAAGCAAATGACAGTAATAAAGAATAAATATGATAATGGCACTGACCAACCAAGGATACCAAAATCTGATATTCCCCACATATTCTCTCCCAGAGCCAAGTTTTACTTTTTTATGGAAACTCTCTAGGGAAGAGGCAGTTCTTACATATGAGGCAAGATGCTCCATAAGAGGGCACCACCACTTAAGTAGTTCATAGCTGTATGAACATCTTTGAATAGAGTTGTTGTAGATGATTCAGACATCACAAAGATGAATGCAGCAGTACAACTATGTCTTGCGATGAAAATTGAAAGCTGAGAAAAAAATTGAGCTATGTATCAATGACTGTAATGGGGAAAAGAAACACTTATATAATTTGGGCCTGTTTAAATATTACTCATGCGTTACAAAAATTAGATAGGATGTCCTGTATGTGATGTGTAGCTGAGCTGTACCCCATAATGCGAGAGAAATTTACTCATATTTTGGTATGTGTACATGCTAGATTAGCCTATTTGCTGCTGAATATACTGTAGGTAAATGGAAAACCACAACCTTACATCACCTTACAGGAAATTCCTACTTTGTATATGGTCTAGGATTGGTTGATGCATTTCTCATTCTTATCCACTACAAAGATAAACAGAAAAAATAGGCAGAAAAACACTGAATGTGCTTATGGTAGATGTGTGAGAGGAGATTTTTTTCATTAACATCAGATAATTTACTTCTTAAATTTATATTTTAAGAAGCAAAAGGGTACCACTTTTCTAAATCAGAATGTTATCAGTGTTAATGCTTAACTAATATTGGGGCAAGTGGGAAGAGGGAAATTGTAGAGAGATAAAAGATAAATCGATATTTTAGTCTTTGTACTATCCTAAGAGAAAAAGGCTGCATAATAATCTTTTTCCAGACTGAGGGCAAAATTTTGCCTTTGAATAGTATGTCAGGGGAAAAACTAAATTTGATTTCATTTCCATTTTGGTAAAACTAAATAATGGTGTGATAACTTTCCAGTTTTCTTCTTTTGTTACATTAAAAATTTGATAGCAACTTCAGAAGGTCTTTGGAACAGCTCTTCTGTTATAGAATGTTAAATCAGTAAGCAAATTGGAAAATTGACAAATTATCTTAATAATTAACATATATTTTGAAAATGTGAACATCTTTCCTTAAATTACACCACTCAATTTATATGCCTTTCATATAAATGTTGGGAATGAGCCTGAGAGTACCCTCATATGAATGTCAGAGTTGATTAGCTAGCAAAGGCCTATCTTCAACATTGGGCTAGTAATGGATGAATCAGACATATTCAGTTTTTTACTTTGCCTCCCTTACATTGGTTTCAATATTTTTAATATAGTTTATAAGAAAATGTAATGTCCCAATAGCATGCTTGCACATACTTTCTCTAATAAAGGCACTTTGTATGCTTTTAAAAGTTGTGAGTGATGTCATAAGATTTGAAAAATGCAGTTACCATGTATAACTGCATTCCAATTTATTTCTAGGCTTAGGAAATTTGAATAGGGTATATGGGCGTGAAAATGCAAACAGAACAGATTTCTTTCTCATTACTATTGCTGTCCATTATGCTTGCTGGACATAGCCCTGCTTGACTAACTTATAAAAAACCAAGCAACCCAACATTCACATTTCTGGGTGGAGGAAACCCCAAGCTGTGCCTGTATGTGAACCAAATTAAGCTGTCAGTACACATACGAGGAGTGAGAAGAGTCAGAGGCTACTGCTGTGACAGAGGTTTTTGTTGGATATGCAGACAGCTGCTGAAGGGACTTTGTGTGATCCCTGCTACCACTGAGCTACCTGTTCTGGTAGCATAAGTGAATGAAAAAAAGTAGCATTGTGATTCACTTTTGGGGTGTATTGGTTCAAGCATCTGCTGTCATAGCAGGGTGGCTTGGACAGAATTGTTTAAGTAGCTACTGGCAAAGGACTGTTCTTGGCTATCATGTGTTGATTCATGAAAGGACAGATCAGAAAACTCTTCCTGAATTTTCTTTTAAAGATAAAGCCTTTTTCAAGTTAAGCTAGTGCTAAACTGCATTCAGCTGGCAATATCAAGGAAGCCAGAACTACATAGTAAGGTACTGTTAATACTAATCGGGGGGTAAATACAAAATATTGGAAACTCAAAAGAATTCCCAAGCCTCATGTATAATTTCATTAAGGTGGAATTTTTGAATGAACAAATATTTCTCACATTTCTTGCCACCTGGGCTGAGTTCCTGTTTGTAAGATAAGCCACCAACAAACTCACCTATCTTTTGACTGTTTATGTCTCTTCTCCCATCCATTCCTTTCCCAGCTTCCCCACAATCTCTCAGATATAAAGTCATGGACAGGTTCAGTTCCTCAAGTCTGTCTGTATAGAGAACTGCATAGAATCAAAGAATTGGAAGGCCATTGAGGAAGGCCATTGAGGGTCAGAATTGCAATCCACATTAAAACAATCCAACCACTACTTGAACACATTTAATAAAGAGGAGCCCAACACCTTTCTGGATAATTAGGTAATTATTAAACTGTTCTTAGTGTTGAGAAGTTTCATCTAATATTCAGTAGGAAGCTGCCTCCTTGTAACTTAAATCCATTATTCCGTATTCTGTGCCCTAAAATACGAACAGTTCTTTTATGTGACATTCTTTTTTGGTATTTGAAGAATGCTATCATATATCTCCTTTTCTCAAGGCTAAACATAGCCAGCTCCCTCATTCTCTCTTCATAGGATTTAGTTTCTTGTTCTTGGATTGTTCTTGTTGACCTTCTCTGGACTGGTTCCAACTTTTCTGAATCCTTCTTAAAATGGTGTCCTCAGAACTGGACAAGGTACTTAAAGTGGAGTCTAAACAAGCAGAATAGAATAGAATAGAATAGAATAGAATAGAATAGAATAGAATAGAATAGAATAGAATAGAATAGAATA